GGTGTACACACACATATCTAAGGTTAAGAAAAAAAAAAAATGAACAATGTTGACATTACCACAAACATTTCTAACGATTTTTTACTAATAAACTTAATTCTTATTTTTGCATTACCACTTTTTTCCAATAATTTTTTCTTTTGTTTCAACTTTAAATTAGTTTTTAGATATCTTTCGCTTATATGATACCACTTTGCGGTACATCTAGAATATTTCTATCAATGAAAAACAAAAAGAGGTGTAAATGCACTGTATTATAGACTGATAACAATTAAATAGCAAAACAAAAAAAAAAAAATTTAATTTTGAATAAGGTTTATTTTTTTTTTATTTTTTTAATATATAAGAAGTAGAATAAAGAAAAAGTAAGAGAGCAGCTTTTCTGGTATAAAATTTGCTGGTTTTTTGCTATTTGTTTCGTAAATCAATTCGTTGATTAGCTAAGGTTCTGATAACCTATTGTTCGCGTAATTCACATTTATTCACATTTATGCATCGCATCAATATATATTTATATATATATATATATATTTATTTATTTATTTATTTATTTTTATTTATTTATTTTCATATTCTATATACAGTATAGAACTTCTTCTTTATGAGAAGTGATAAGCATTCATTTACCATAAAAAATTAATTAAAGAATGCAAAAGCAGAAAAAGATATGTGCAACGTTTAAGGAAGAAAATGGGAATTGTTGATTAGTGACAAAATTTGCAAGAATGTTTTTTTTTTTTTTTTGTCGTTGTTGTTGTTTTGAAACTAAAATAATCAATTTATCAATAAGTTTCTAGAATTTTTACTTATTGTTTTTTTTTTTTTATTGACATAATATTTTTTTTGTTTTGTTTCAGATTCTTGGATTCTGGATGTTTGGAACATTTACTTGTAAACTGTTTCGTTTATTCGAGCATATTGGAAAAATTTTCAGCACTTTTATATTGGTTTGTCTTAGTTTTGATAGATATTGCGCTGTATGTCATCCGTTACAGGTAAAAAAAAAAATTTTTTTTCATGATTTTTTTAAATCTTTTTTTTTTTTAATTTTCAAATTTTTCCTCTCTTTATTTCTCCTCCCACTCCAATCCTCGTTAATGTTTATTCTGATGCATATATTTGATTGTTGTTACTTTTTTTTCTTGTTTCTTTTAAGCTTAACGTTGCTAAACATTATTTAACTTAATCAAGTATGATTTTTACCTCATAGACTATTTGAGGGAAAAAGCTACACTATTTCCTCTGCACATAACGAAAGCCACTTAAAGAATACTCATTGAAAAGACAACAAAAAAGAAACCCACGCATTTTCCTTTTTTTTTTTTGTTATTGTTAATCTTTGAAAAATATATTGACAACAGATCATTTTTTCCTTTCACTATTAGCACTTTTAATAAAGCTGAAAAGAAAGTATGCAGTTATCTTTGAAAAGAGGAAGTACAGCCAATATTACATACAAATTTGCAATAAAATAGATTTTCTTCTTTCTGT